TTGTCTTTCTCTGGCATTTGGTTAATAAGTAACCTGTTTTCTATTATAGCTACTTACAGGAATTGTCTTTCTTGGTGAATGGCTTAGAATGGTAAAAGAGATTGTGGTCTTTTCTAAACTCATGTATGGACAAATTGTAACTATGTCTTCTTTTTTCAGGAAGCTAAACAGCAAGGTGCAGCGGAGTCAGAGCTGCAGCGACACAGTTCAGGACAGAGTGAAGAGCAGGCTCAGAGCAGCTCCACCCCACAGAGCCAAGGTACACCTCAGCCTCAGGCTGCTGCTGGGGCTCTCTGCCCTTCTGTCTCCCCTCAGCACACACAGGCAGGTTATATAGTACACAGAGAATCCTACAGACAGATAGGAAGTTTCCAATTAGTAGACAGATGGGGATATTAAGCCATCATAGACTCCTTTTTAAAGGTTTCCGTAAGCCCCATCTCCATGAAGTTTTCATGTTGCTAACTCCTTCAGGTGTGTGTGTGTGTGTTCTAGGCTGGAATTTCCCCAGTTTCAGGTGCACATTACCCTTCCTCCCTTCCTTCCCTGTCCTCCCTCCACCCAAAGGACTTATGTAGAAACAAATACATGCATGAGATGCCTGGAGGGCTGGCTCAGCAATTGAGAACACTTGTTCTTGCGGAGAACCAGACCCATATCAGGCTGCTGCTTCCCATAATTCTAGCTCCAGGGGATTCAACATGCTCTCTGGCCTCTTTGGACACCTGCACATACATGTGCATACATATACACAAGTTTTAAAAAATAAAAAATAAACAATACAAAAAGTGAAGAAAAATACACACACACCATCTTTTATATTTCTTTCAGGTCACAACTATAACTCCAGGCTCCACCCCCATTATTGGTGTTCTCTTGTCCACTCAAAACAACCGCTGCCTCTCGGCCCCTGACTTAACCGTAGAAAAACGCCTGCCCTTCAGCTCCCTTTCGTCCTTGGCTTCCTTGCATAAGCCAGAGCGCTCTATCAGCCCTGAGAGCAACGACAGCATCTCTGAAGAACTCAACCACTTCAAGCCCATTGTCTGCTCGCCATGCACCCCTCCCAAGAGACTCCCTGATGGCCGAGTGCTAAGTCCACTCATCATCAAGTCAACACCTCGAAACCTGAACAGAAGCCTGCAAAAGCAGACTTCCTACGAGGCTAGTCCACGGATACTCAAGAAGTGGGAACAGATCTTCCAGGAGCGGCAGATCAAGAAGACCCTTTCCAAAGCCACTCTCACCTCCCTGGCCCCTGAAGGAGGGGAGGAGTTACCGGGCTCGGAAGCGATCCATTCCAGCAAGGAGAGGCTGCCTCTGCCTTTAAATACAAGACTGTCCAGGGCCCAGATGCTCTCAGAGTGTGCTGGGCCCACCTCCACTGCCCTTGAGTATTTCCCTTCTGTTAACCAGACAAGAGTAGATCAGGACTGTGTTAGAAAAAGGAGCCATGAGGTTCCGCTGGAGACCTGCCATTCCTCAGAGTACAGAGGAGTAGCCAGTGGACCTTCTTTGGAAGGGGAACAGTTGGAGGAGTCAAGGTCCACCCTAGATGCCACATTAGACAAAACTTGCATAAGCACAGTCATGAAGACCTCGGCAGTTGATTCAGCGCTGCCTAAGGGTGATGTTTTGGGTGGGGTCTTTAAAACAAAGAGACAGCTGAGGACACTCAGTCCTTTTGATCTGACTAACGGCATTCTGATCAACAGCCTAGGAGAGGAGCCAGTTCCTTCCCTGCGCAGGGGCCGGAAAAGGCGCTGTAAGACCAAGCACTTGGAACAAAATGGTGTTAAGAAACTGCGACCACCCAGCAGTGACATGGGCCTGGCCCCCAAAGAGCCAGGGCTGTGTGAGGTGGGGCAGAAATGGCAGGAGGAGGAAGAGGACCAGCCGATGGCTCTTCAGTCACAGCGTACATTTGACAGTGAGAGGCGGACTGTGAGCCGGCGGAAAGGCAACGTGGATCAGTATCTCTTACGGTCCAGCAGCCTGGCTGGAGCCAAGTAGCACTTACTGTACAGTGTGGTGTTACCTGCTTTGCAGAGGTCCTTGGCCTCAGTCATTTATCCAAAAGAGCTAGCTGAATGTTCTCACTTTGAGTTTCTTTCAATGGCAAAACACTGTCTAATATGATTCTGAGAGGCTTCAGAGCCTTGGTAATCAAAGCCAAGGGTCTGCATATTTGCCTCTCTAGGATCTGGGCCATACTCCTCACCCCCTGAGTGAGCCAACTCTGAAGGCTTCTGGGCCCAAATCTGGCAGCACCCACTTGGAATGAGATTGGGATTGGCTTCATTCATGAACATGATGGCCAGAGTTAGAGATGGCAGGGAGACGGTACCTTCTCACACTCATAAGAACCCTGGCTTCTTACAACAGAGCAGTGTTTAAGTCAGCCTTGCAGATAGACATTCATTCTTCAGAGACAAACAGTGCAGTGCTGTGGAAGACCTGAGGTAAACAAGTGATCATGTTCGTCTTTGTCACCCCTGTGTAACTCTACACACCTAAATCAGTTGAGCTTAGAACTTTGGCTTCTCCGGAAGCTAATTTACATTCTCTGTGTAAACTATGACATTTGATTGATGCTGTGTGATTGACACCTGCTCTTCCTGACTTGTAAGTGTTGTCAGCTGGACGATGAAGCTGCAGTGCAGATGTTCAGGTTCTCTCAACTGCCAAGTGTTGTAGTCCAGGCTGACCACTGTGTCTCCTGGCCACAAGTCCCATGGATTCTCCACAATCACGGGGTGCCCAAAGGAAATACAACCCAAGGGCATGCCACGGCTACCTGGGGAGACTGGCTAGGCACTGAGTGTGACAGTGTGAAGCCCACCTAGAAGTAATTAACATTGCTGAGATTGTAACATTGCTGAGATGTAAATCGTAGAACTGCAGTGAACTCACCTACCCCATTTATAGGCTCCTGTTTTTCGCAGGAGTCCTAGCCTGTGAGATAACTATGAGGTTTCCTTACTACTTTCCACTTGGCAATGGCTATCTGCAATTTTGGTCTAAAAATCATGAAAAACTTGCCCCAAAGTCAGGCAGAGATAATGCTGAGACTCCATATTGTGGAAACAAGGTATCTAGCTGGATACAGCTGGTAAATGTAGTCCCATGGACCTTTGGGGTTTATTTTTCTTAGCAGATGACACTGTGTGTCTTTTGCATCCCTGGTGGTGCTTGGTGCTTCTGCCCTTCTGGGCTCAATGAAAATAGGGATTATGATACGATTTTAGGGACTCTCAGGTGGGCTGGCATTCCCTGTGTCTGTATGAGCTGTTACCATAGTCATTTGACTGGCATTTTAACAAACCTTCCAGAGCTCCTGTACCCACCCTTTGCTGTCCCCCTTGCAAGGTCCCAGCAGGATAGTGCATAGTTCTCCAGTGAAGTTGCCTTTGATCAGAGTGTTTCTGAAACAGTCAGTCTAGAAATAGCTAAAGCTACAGTCAGCAGCTGAGAGTAGTTACCTGTAGTGCTGTTTCCTGGGGGCAGATGTCAGTCTTTTGGGATTCTAGAAGAGAGAACCTCAGATTTGGAATTAGCCCAAAGTTGGTTGAAGCTTCTAGGAAGGAGGGAAGGAGCATGTGGAGTCCCAAGCAAGGCGTCCCTAAAGCAGACAGAGCTACTTTCTCTGCAGCTCAGAGCTGACTCTTCCCGGGGATGCTGGATGTGTGTGGCCATCACCAAGATAGGTGGCTTCAGAGGCTGCTCTGATGGGGAACCTGTGTGAGTCCTGGGGTGTGGGTGTATGTTTTACAGACATGCAACAGTCTCATTCCTTTATATTCATGCCACTTTACTTCTTGTCCTAGGCAACTTAAGGCTTTAAGGGCTGCTAAAGGCGTGTTAATGCCCCAAAAAGGAGAGCTGGCCCTGGTCTGCACATACAAGGAGATTCCATTAGAGAAAACTTTGAAATGTGTGCCACTTCACATATTCCCTTTATGATCTTAGTAATTATTATTGGAAGGCTAGTCTTACTGGGTAGTAGCAAAGACACATTTTTCCACATGCCACCCTTTTATATGTCACTAATCAGTAGAAAAACACTTTCAGTTGGAATTAATTTTGGGTTTTGGTAAAAAGGTAAAATATTTTTAAGAGATGAGAAATATATATTTTAAATATCCCCTTGCCCCTAGTTACTACCCTGGTTTTAAGAGTGTGCACAGTGGTGGTGACAGGTGTGGGCTGCAGGTGCAGCGTCGCTGCTAAGCAAGTGTTGCAGACTCTGGGCCGGACTGTGGCTGTCCCTGTGCACCCCAGTGAGACTCAGCTGTGCTGCAGACAGTGTTGATTCCCATGCTTCCTGCTGAGCAGTGCTCCTCCAAGTGGAGGCAGCGAGTTTCCGGTGAGGAGCTTTGAAGATGGAAAACTACTAACATGCCACATGCAGGACGCTCTCACGTTTAGTCACTGAAACCTGAACACTGTTTCTGAAAATCCCCATCGCAGTGCTTTCTGAAGCTCTTTACAGCTACAGTTGTTGACGTGGATTCCTGATGAGTAGAGACAAATAGAATGGTTGGGAGGGTAGGTGAGCTAGAGGAAAGAGATTTCACAAAATCAATACTTCCCACAAGTCACTGCAGTTCTGCCCACCCTGCACATTGCCCATGTTCCGCCGTGCCCTTGTGTATATGCATTCTGCTTGTTTCCCTTTCTTATTAAAGAGGAAAGGATGAGGAACAGGATGGTGCATCTTGCCATTCCTCAAGAGGGCTTGGCAGCCCTTCCCCAGAGAGGTAACCCTGCGGCTGATTGTCCCTGTTGGAAGAAGTCATCTGGATGGATTGTCATCAAGTCAGGGATTGTTCAGCCAGCAACTGACTTCTGTCCCTTAGTTACCTTAAAAAAAAAAAAAAAAAAGTTAAGTCTGGCTGAGGCTTGTTCAGGAATTCTTTCTTAATTGGCCTCATTTATTAAAAGAAACAAAAAACCCAAAACATTTTTTTTGTATGGAGGATGTACTGGTCATAAATGTCTTTTTCTTTTTCTTTCTTTTTTTTTTTTTTTTTAAGGTAAGATGCCCCTCAGAGAGTAAAGCTATTTAATTAATTATTGTCTGGTTACAAACTAGCCACTGACTAAAATGGGAAGCTGCTACTGAAGGCTGTGTTCATTCAGTAGGCACTTTTGAGTCTTAGACCGCCCCAGTGTGCTGGACCACAGGCTAGACCCTGTTGTTGGGGGGGCTGTCTCGTGCAGTGTGTGTGGACATATGTTCGGCTAGAGAGTGTGTTAATGATCTTTGGAAGGCCATTTCATCTATAACAATGCTCTTCAATGGTCCTGCTCAGGAGATCTAGCACTCAGCCTGTCACTGGCAACGTTTTCCATATCTCATCAAGATTTATGCGTTTGATTAACTCTGCTTTTTCCATTTCCTAAGTAACTTTTCCAGGGAAGAATGGATTTTCTCCTGCAGTGATAATAGAACAGTTGCTCTGTTCAGAAGCTGCATTTACTTCAAGTTCCAAGAAATGAGGCAGGTCTGGGTCACTGAGAGGCCGGAGAAGCCCACTCTTCACTTGAGGGACCTCCTAATGCATTCCCCAAGCTGACCTCTCACCAGAACCGGCGGTGACCTGGGGTTTCTTCTTCCTAACTTGTCACTGAAGTGGAGAGCCATCAGGAGGGGTAGAGGCTAGCTTATCATCATGAGATGTTAAAGCTGGACCAGGCCTAGCCCCTCTTTAAATGAAGACCCACTGTTCTGATTTCTGCTGTAGTTCTCTAGGGCTGAATACTAATGAGTTATACAATTTGTGAAGGAAGGAGACGCCCGAGTGACAGAGGTTTGAGAATGGCTTTTTCTTTTGTTTCTTTCGGTGAAGATGTACCTATATCCCCTGAATACACCCATACTAAATAGGGTACTTAATAGGGAAAACCCTGTAGTGTGAGCTAAGTAATGAGTGGAATTTTGTTGTAGTTATTTTAATCATAGCCTTTGCTGTTTCTTTCAAAATCAACCTCCTTAGGGTCTTAAATCTTTCTTAGCCAGCCCTTTCCTCATCAACCAGAGAATGCTCCTTAGATTTAGCCTTTAGAGAGAAGGGAGCTGGTTAAAGTTCTTAGGAGCCAGTAGGGCAGGGAGCAGATTTTGAAGACAAGGCTGCTGCACAGATTCTCTTTGATGATCCAGAAATGCTCCTTTGCCTGTGAATGGTCTGTAGCATTCTGAAGCCTGTTCTGCAGAAGAGATGTAGCTCCACAGAGGTTACCAATTCCGTCAAGGGATGGCAGAAGAAGCCCCAAGCCCACGTGAGCAGGCTGCTCTGTGTCTTGCCAGTGTTTCTTCTGAGGGGAAAATGTACTTTTGTGTTTCCTAAGTTTGTTGTCAGGAATGTGTGAGTGCTGACCTTAGGCTCTGAACAGGCTCCCTCCCTTTCTGGTGTCTCAGGGCCAGAAAGAGCTAGACAAAGTCACGCTAAGGTCAGGCTTGCTCGTCTCCCTTCCCTAAGCTGAGTGTGAGCACAGACAGTGCAGGCTTCCGTGTCAAGCTGTGCAGGGCGGAGCTTCCTCCTGGTGCCAGACTCTGTAGCAGCAGTCAGTTCTCCCTGCTGGCACTTGCCCTCCAAGCTGTGCCACCAGTGCAGCCCGGCAGGTCCCAGTTTGCATCCGACATGACCATCAGCCCGAAGCCTCCAGCAAAGCAAGATAACAGATACTATGCAAGACAGGAAGTGACTAGTTGAAATGCCAACTAGTGGGTGTTCCCCCCTTTCTTTTTGCACCTGATACACTGTTTACTCTTAACTGTACAAATATAGTTGTATAAAGAGCCAAGAGCCGAACCTTTCCACCTAGAAATATAAATTGGTTGTCTGTTTGGTTTTAGGCAACCTGCTATAGCTCCTTGTGGTCTGGTGGTTGTGACTTACTCAACCTGTTTACATTAGGATCGGAGAAGGGGCCTTGCATCCTGGTGGACTGCCACTGCTGTCTGTACCCCCTTGACTCATAAAGAGCCTTTTGGCAGAGGACTTGGGACAAGGTATGCCCTGTCAAGGGATGCTTTTACCACAGTGAAATGGTGTGGAATCAAGTGGGATAATGTATGATTAAAACAGTACCAAAGTGCATTCTTCAATGTGTGTATGTGCCTGTTCCAGGCGAGGCCCAAGTTGAAAATGCAGTAAAGCAGACTCCTGAAAGCAAACCGTCTACTTCTGGTTAGTCTCTAGAGTGCTGCGTCTGACAGTGTACACTAAGCTTAAGGCAGGTATTTGTTTGGGTGCTGTCCTGGGCCAGGGAGGTACCTGAGTGGGAAGGCCTTACCTGGGCATTCAGAATGAGTGGGAAGGCACTGGGGTGGGATCTCCACAGGGAACAAGCCTATCATTTTATGTGTTCTAATGGCTGGTATTTACAGTTTCCTGACCTCTTGAGACCATTGTAACTTCTCTGAAGACCCAAGTTTGAGTAAAGAATGACTGGGAGATGCCACTGTCCTTGCACCTTACAGCTGGACTTAGAAATATGATGGTTGCTGGATGGTGATGGTGCACACCTTTAATCCCAGCACTCGGGAGGCAGAGGCAGGCGGATCTCTGTGAGTTCGAGGCCAGCCTGGTCTCCAAAGCGAGTTCCAGGAAAGGCGCAAAGCTACACAGAGAAACCCTGTCTTGAAAAAACAAAACAAAACAACAACAACAAAAATGATTGTTAAAAATGCTCTTCTTTGGAACCATTGCTCAGAAAGTCATAAAAAAAAATCTCTGACATGAGTTTTTCACAGAGCATGGAACAAATGTTAACCTGTTTCTCTTAAACTCAGAAAACGACCCTAGAAGACTCTGCCAGCACATGCAGGATCTCTGAAGTCACTTTACACAAGGCGTTCAAGGGAGAGTGGTTAAAGTGAACATGCAGCCAGTTGGAGTCTTGAAAACAGTACTCGGCACTTGGTCCCTAGGGTAGCAAGGCGCTGTACACACTATTCATTCCCTTGTAACTAGGTATGCTGCGTGTCCTTTACAGATGGGAACTCTAGCCCTGGCTGGAACTCCAGAGCCTAGGTGCTGGGCCTCTGACTCCAAAGCTGCTGGTTGCATCTTCTGCTGCTGTGGCCTCAGCTAACTTCGCAGTGCAAAGCTCTACCACTGGCCTTGGCCAACAGTGTGGTTCTAGTTGCTGTCTGGACTGGAACTGGTGGGGCCAGTGACCAGGCTGTCTTCCCACTTTACCCACTGTCCTGTGGAATTCTGGGTTAATTCCAGATGTGAGCACAGTTTGCTTTCCCATCTGTCAGTTCTCCCAGAGCCTCACTAACTTCCAGATTGCTCATTAGTGTCTCGGGTGACTAGCCGGCTCAGTTTGGGATGACTGAAGGACACGTAAACTGAAGCGGAAAGTTAAGAGTGATCCCAGCATCGAGTGTATGGAGGCAGGAGGATCAGGAGTTCAAGGTCATCCTTGGCTATATAGTTTGAGGCTACCCTGGGCTACGTGAATCCCTGTCAGAAAATACCAGGGGAAAAAAAGATGAAAAACATGAGTTGCCACGTCATCTTATCAAGTCTTACTAGAATAGTAGCAGAGTTGGGGTACTACATGGTGGCTTCCAGCTTGGGGTTCAGTTGCAACACTTTGTTACATGTTTGGAAAAAGGCTCATGCTTGAACTCTGAAAGCAGCTTCTGGGGTAAGAAGCCAAAGGAATTTAGAAAGATCAGAAACTTAGTAAGGAGAGACAACCAGCTTGTTCACCTGAGAGAAAGTGGTGCTTTGCCCAGACAAGTGTGCCCTCTTTGGAATGCCCTCACACTGGTTAAGGGGCTGCCATGGGGGTACAAAGGGCAGAGCTGGAACTGAGGGACTTAGGCAGATAGGCTACACAGTCCATTCTAACATAGCCATTAAAACTGCCCACGAATGGGCTTTCCTCCCGAGTCAGTTCCATTACTGGGGTGACTACAAGAAGCTAGGTTGGAACATGGTGTGTGTGTTGTGTGTGTGTAGGTAGGTAGGTCCATTCTTGAGACTGTGTGGCAGGAACACATCTGGCTGAAGGGAGCACTCTAGGAGGTTCTCCAGAAGTGGAACCTGGTGGGTTGGCAGTGTGACTGTCAGGGTGACTTCTCCTAACAGTAAGGGAAAGATGGATGCTAGCAAGTCAGCCACAAATGCTCTGAACGTGGCTGCTGCTGCTGTGGGTCACTGCATCACCTGACCTGTCAGGCGTCTAAATGGGCTAACGATACTCTTGTCACCTGGTGTGGCCTGTGTAGTGATGGCACATGCATGTGTATGTCTGAGTATGATCACAGCTTCATGTAAGCACTTAACTGGCTATTTACATGAGTCTGTGAAGTTGAGTTCAATAATATGCAAATGGTTGGGGTTTGGATTTGGGGAGTCTGCCTTGCTGAGGATCAAGAAGCATACTTGGACCCTAGGGACTGCAGGTCTGCTGCCCAGATCTGAAGTCGCCGTCCCCAGGGGAGAAATCTTAGGTCCCACACACACAGCATAGCCCCGGTGGACTTCTCCAGACCCTTCTGGGGTAGGTGCTGCCTACTGGGCACACACCAGGAATGCAGCAGCCCCAGTCTGCCTTGGCCAGAATGTTGCTTTATTACGAACTGGGGTGCCTGCCCAGCCCCGATGTTTGTGTTCTTGCCTTTAGCCTGTGTCCTGGATTATAGGTCCCTGGGAAACTAACCCCTCCCCTCTTCTACCAGCCATTATCTCAAAAGGGACCATTCCATCTTCTGGCCCCCTCACAGTGGAAAACGTTCCTTACAGGAAATCTGTCTACCCAGCCTCTGGCCCTCTGCTCTGCTACCCTGCCTCTTGCTGGCTGTAGCGAGCGCACTTCCGAGTTTTCTATGCTACTCCTCCGTCTCAGCTGTCAGGTGGGTTTCTCATAGCCCTCTTGGGATGCAGGAATCAGTGGAGATTTTTTTCCTTAGTGACACCACCACTGTGGCCCTGGCCTGGCTTCCAAGAAGAATGCTTGGCACCCACTGGATTGCTCTATGCACCACTCTTTATTGCTGCTGGGCCAGCCACCAGGTGCAGCCTGGCCGGGCTCGGAGGCGAGGTCCTGCCGAGCTCCACATGCTGACCACGAAGCGAGACGGAGCCCAAGGCCCCTCTGTTCAGGGCTGGGCACGGTCCAGGGCACATAGCCCCTGGGGAGGGCGGTGCGTAGCTCTACTCTTTCGAGTCGCTGGCCGTGGTGTCCTGGCAGAACTCGTCCATGAACTCGAGGAAGCGGCCCAACTTGGGCTGGCCCGCGCTCAGCGCGCGGCGGGTGGGCGGCCTGGGCGGCGGGCTGGCCGTGAACACAGTCCGCAGCGAGCTGCGCACCAGCTGCCTGTAGCGCGCACGGAACTCCTTGAGCAGCTTCTTGGCCTCCCGGTACTGCTTCTGGTTCACCAGGCGCTGCTGTGCACGCCGCTGCAGCACGGCGCCTGCAGGGACGAGACAGGACAGCGCCAGGCTCGCCCGGTTCCCCTGGCCCAGAGATGCACAAAGCATATTGGTGGGTGGAAGCAGTCCAGCCCCCACAGTGGGCAGTCATACCTCAGTTCAAAATCCGAAGGTGCCTGGTGACAGGGGAGCCTCCTGCCTGCCTGCCCACCCTGCACACACCGTAGGTGGCTCGGAAATCCCCACTTCCACAGCCCTCCCTGCTTTCCGTGCTCCCTTCTAGGTTCGCACCAGTCCTCCCCGCTAGACGCCAGCCCTGGTAGGACAGTGGCACCATACCCAGAGGAGCTTCAGTGACGTTCCGAGGGTCCCGCATGCGAATGAGGATGTCATCCAGCAGCTGCGCTCGGGTCTTCCGTGGGGGTGGGATTGGTATCCTCCCAGCCTGGCACAAGGTAAAGAGGCCTGTCACTTCATGCACTCATTGCGTCAGGCAGTAGGGAGTGCTGGGAACCGGGCCTCAGGGTCCCAAGGTCCTGCAGAGACCTCAGAACTCAGGAGCAGTCAGTGGCTGAGGTGCTTACCCGCTTCTCCTTGGGGATGTAGGGTTTCTGGAAAGTGTCCAGCCTGGGCTTGGAGGAACGGCAGATGAGCGGCTGCTTCAGCATGCGATGCAGGGCCTGTGCGTTCTTCTGGATGCCTAGCAGAGAAGGCAGCAGCAACAGGTGTCACCCCTGACCCCGCTTAGTGCTGGGGAAAGGACTGCAGAGCCCAAGAAAGTCATTCCCAGAGCTCCCTCATCTGCCCCCCCCAATGCTTCACCATTCACTGAGTGAAATGTCTGCCTGAGCTCAGAGCCTCACAGTGATTCCTTGAACTCAGGGGTCACGTGACAGGCTGACTCCCGGGAGACCGGCTCCAGGCTCTTTTGGAGGCACAGATACTGTTGACACATCAGAGTAAATAGAATCATAGCCAAGAGGGCACTGCCTCTGCTCCCCCAAACCAGGTGGTGATGGGGGGTGGGGTGGGATGGTCTACTGGGCCTTAACGGAGGCTGGCGGGAGCTCAGGAACCTGGCTTTGTTTGGTCATTAACCCTCTCTGTGAGCCATTTCCCACCCTGGGCAACCGGGCTAATGCAGCCAGTCTTTGAAAAAACCATGACCCCAAAGCACTGAAGGTTCAGCAAAGCGTAGTGACGCTGCCGTGCCCTAAGAACCCCCGACAGACATCCAGATGGAGGGCAGCACCAGCCTTGGCCTGGCACGGCCTGCTCTGGGCTGAGGGGTGCCCCTGGCCTTGACATACCCTTGGGCTCCACAAAGGCCGGGTCAGGCTTGGCTGTGAGCAGCTCCTCATAACCATAGTACTTGGTGTGCGCAGAGGCAGACGGGTGCTTCCTCCGCGTCCTCTTGGCCTCTCTGGGTGCAGTTAGTGGTCTCTTTTGGTCACTCTCCTTTACCTCTAACTTTTCCTTGGGGACGGTGGAGGGTGGCAGCTCATTCACCTGCGCCGGGAAGAAAACACGTTCCCTGGCGGATCCCAGCTTGGGCTCTGCACAGCCTGCAGGGGTGGGTCCTGATGCAGGGAGAGCTGAGGCGTGGAGGAGGCTGGCGATAGGTGGTGTGTGCCAACAGGAGAAGGCATGGCCAATCTGCGCAGTCTCAGAGGAGGCCCCAAGCCAGCCAGAGAACTCCCTCCATAGGAAGTGATTCCTTAGTCTGGGCCAAGTCTTGGGGACAAAGGAGAGCTGTCGTCCCAGACAAAGCAGACAGAGGGCTGGACTGCAGGCCGTGACAACAGCTGGCAGTGGAGCAGTCGAGAAACAGCATGGCACACTTAAAGAGTAACATAACACAGGTGAAGGACCTTCAAATGCCATGCTGAGGATGCTTGTTTTGCATTCTTTATTCTTGCTTTGAAGTAAACCAGGTACATTTTGGCCTACCCAAATGGTTTTTATACAACACAGGAAGCCCTATCCCATGTAGGGACGTTCTGGGGGACCCTGCCAACTCTTCTAGCCTTATGGAGGTTGAACAGTCCTTATATGAAATGCCTGGGGGAAGAATGTTTATGTTTTAGAATATTTACATGACAAGATGCTTGGCATGGGACCCATGTCTACATGTAAAATTTGTTTATGTTTTATGTATGTTTTATATACATAGCCCTAAGGTAATTTCATATATCAAGTGATTTTATGCGTGAAACAAAATTTCATGATATGAAATGTTCCTCTTGTGAACATGCTGGCACCTCAAAAATGTTCAGAATTCAGAGCATTTGGAATTTGATTCATTCATATTGGGAATGTTCAGTCTGTATTTCCTTTCTCTACACTAGTGGTTCTCAACTTTCCTAATGCTGCAACCCTTTAATACAGTTCCTTGTGTTGTGGTGACCCCTAAGCATAAAATTATTTTTATAGCTACTTTGTAACTAATTTTGCTACTGTATGAATTATAATGTAAATATCTGTGTTTTCTGATGGTCTTAGGTGACCTCTGTGAAAGGGTTGCTCAATTCCAAAGGGGTCATGACCCACAGGTTGAGAACCCCTGTTCTACACACTACTGCATTGATACTGGGTATTCATGGTTCCTAAACTTCTGTTTGACTTGTTCCTCCTGCACCACACTTCTTGCTCTCTCTGCCAGTATCTCCACCTTGCTAAGGTCCCCCTGGCCTGAGAAGCACAGCTCATCCTGATTTGGACAGAGGCATCCCTCCTCACGGCTGGTCCCTGGGTTCCCCCAGTCTCAGCACAGATGGCCAGTTCTGTTTCTGTCAGCGTTCCCATTAGGCCATAAGCACCTCGGAGGTGGCACCTGTAGCTACGCCATCTTGGTTCCCAGGACCCAGGGCAGCCTGAGACGTGAGATAGCTCTTAGCAAAGGCATGAGCAGTGACACACCTCTGCAAACTGGCCAGCACCACATCGCAGTGAGATCCGAGATGCTGTCTGTGCCGCTGGACTACTAGATCTTGTGTCGCCCCGATCAAGGGTCCCTGAGAGCTGCACGGCCTTCAGGTTTCCCTGCCTGTCCTGGGCAGCCCAGGGCAGTGCCAGTAGCTCAGAGCAGGAACCTGTGGACACTGCAGCCAGGGGTGGAGGCACCCGGGGACAGGTACCTGGGTCAGGAAGATGGACTCCGTACTCTTGGCATCTTCATCTGATGGGTGCTCTGGGCTCAAGAGGGCAGCTGCACGGCTCGGGTGGGACACCGGCTCACTGTGTACGGTGGAGTCGGAGCAGATGGGAGGCATCGGCACAAAGGTCCGGTGAGTGAGGGAAGTGCCTTCGGAGCCCTCAGTGGCCAGCAGTGCCTCGTGAGTGGTGTTTTCGGTAGAGGACAGCACTTCAGCTCCTGGCTCTGGCTCCCGCATAAGACCTGAGGGAGGCTTGTCCGTGGTCAAGCTCATGTGGTGGGGGACCAGAGAATGCCTTGACACCTTGGGGATGTGAGTTTTCACCTGCATAAGAGAAAGGCTGGGTTAGATGGGCTCCATAGTTCGGAGGGAGTCCTGGGCCCCACCAGTCTCAGATGGCTGCACAGTGGGTGTGTGCAGTTTGGGCAGGCAGGAAGGCCGTCACATGGGCCTGCACAGAGGACAGCTTCGCTCTATACCACCACGGCGGCGGTGGCGGCGGCGGCTCAGTGGGGAAGAACCGGCTCCCACGGGTGGTCCTCTGGCCTCCATGTGGACACTGTCACACAGATGGGAACCTTTAGCCTCGTTCCCAGGTCAGAGGGGTAAAATGACTTGTATCCTGACCTCACTCTGCTCCTGGCAGTGTCTCTCTTCAGCAATGCCTCTCCCGTTCCTCAGGGATTCCTATAGGTGGTGGTGGCCCTGCTTTTCCTGAGCCAAGTTTCTCAGGAGCTGTGGAGCTACCTAACTGGCAGGGCCTCTCACCATCTTTCCTGCACTGTCTCCCTGCAGGGGGGTTGGGGTAGGCAGTGAGGAGGCGGGGCCGGCTGTGCCCTCGTGTCAAGGTTTACAGACTGACTAGTGGAGCAGAAAGACCCTGGGCTGCACTTAGGAGCATGCGCGCTGAGACACAGCTGGATCCCTGGAGGCAGCTTCCTGATGAACAGGGCAGACACCCCTGCCCAGCCTGTACCTGGATCCACCATCTGAGGAGTGGGAAGGACCACTCCTCTCTAAAGTAAGTTTCATTTTAAGAAGTTTTTTTCTTTTTGGTATGTGAGGAGTCCATGTTTTGAATGGCAGCCTGAAGGGCATGGATCCAGAACCCATGTCACAGGGGCAAGGCAGCTTGGACACACCAGGAGCCCTTGCCAGCATGGGGGGGGGGGGCAGCGTCTCCCTCCCTCTGTCTGCCTGTGGGTGGGGGATGGAGAGCTACTGGAGAAAGACTCCTCAAGTATGCCCTACTTTCCTAGGCCCCTCCCGCAGGTGAACTGACAGTCTTCAGCCCTGCCTCACTGGTGGCCCGACCTCCTGCCCATGCCTGAACAGGGCCTGTAGCCTTTGTCCAGGGAGCCGAGGAGGAAAAGTCCCAGGACGGACCTGCGGACCTGCGTGGGTAGCTGCACCTCTCAGCACACTGCAGACAGACTGCTATCCCAGTCGGCTTTAGGCCCACGCCATGTTCTGGGGTCAGGTGGTGTGTGTGCCTAGATGTACCCTAGTGCTCTATTTCTCACCAGCTGGTACTGTGTTTGTTAAGACCTCAATTACTCAGACCCTTGAACAGGAGGAGGGGGGAGAGGCACCCTGAACCCAACACTGACTTGTATTTGGTGAGCTGAGCCTGTTTTCTTGGGAGAAGAGTGAGGGCAGAGGTGTGAGTGCTCTGTGGAGGACTGGCCATGGACCACTTAGGAGACAGAGGCCTGTACCCAGCATCTAGCTCCTGAACATGCTCCCCCGCCAGATGGCGGGTGTGCAGGGAGGTGGTAGATCTCAGAGCAGGCCACAGAAACCCTAGGAATTTCTATTTCTGGCTTTAAACCCTGCTCTCCTCCTTTGAGAGCTTAAGAGCTTGGTCAGACAGAAGCAGCCACAGAGCAGATGGCGAGGGACAGATGTGTCTTCCCTGGGGGACCAGCAGTGTCCACAGATTGTTTGAAATTGCTTCAGATCAAGAGGATGATAATTATTAATTCATGGCCCCCAGAGGTGAGGCTAAGAACCCGCTGGGAGTGAGAGAATTCAGCCTGCCTGCGGCAGGGGCTGTGTATCCAGTCCTGACACCCCAGAGCTGTAACTTTCACCGGAGCATGTGTGGCGAAGGGCTTGGGCTCTTCAGTGGCTTCACGCCTCCTTTCACCCAGCCCTGAAGCAGCCCTGGGAGGCTCCAGAGCCGAGACAGCAGCAGCTCCAAGGTCAGAACTCTTGCCAAGTTCAGACAGCTATGGACAGTGATGGCTCTAACCTGAAGGCTGATTTCTCCCCCACTTCTCCGGCCCTAGTTTCTCTAAATTAGGGGGTCACTGACCCAAGGCTATCCCTCCTCTTGTTGAGGCCTTCTGTCTTACCACCCTGCTTCTAGCTGTGTCTAACAAGGAAGAAGGCACGCGAGTCAACGGAGAGAGAGCTTCCAGGTTTGGTTGGGCAGGGGTCTTCTCATGCCCAGCCAGGTGTATGTGAAAGTAGGCTCCACCTCCCCAGGGCTAGGCCCCTGTTGGAAGGCTTACCTTTCGTGATTCCTTCCGAGGCATCAAAATATGGTGTTTAGATTTTACCAGTTTCCTTCGAACTAAGCGGATGCCCAGGCGCTCCTGGAGGAAGCTCTTGAGCAGTGGTGGGATCCCTGGTGTTGTGAAGGAAAAAAAAATGACGATTAGCTAGTATCTCCTGGGGCTTACTGTGTGTTTGCACTGTTCAGTTACTTTGATGTGTTAGTGTAAGTGTACTTCTCTTTTCAACCACGGGAAGTAGGTGCCATATTATTCCTATTCTATGAGCAAGGGAAGTGGCACACAGAGGCTTCGGTGACGGTGACGAAGTGCAGCAAGGCTTAGCACCCCGCTGGTGTGACAACAGGCCCGGGACTCTAACACACCTCCAGCTGTGAGGTCTGGGCCAGAAGATGGTGGGCTCCACAACAGAACTGCATTCAGAATGCTGGCAGAGCCCTGCAGCTGCGCCCGCAGCCACACAGCCCTGCAGCTGCGCCCGCCACACAGCCCTGCAGCTGCGCCCGCCACACAGCCCTGCAGCTGCGCCCGCCACACAGCCCTGCAGCTGCGCCCGCCACACAGCCCTGCAGCTGCGCCCGCCACACAGCCCTGCAGCTGCGCCCGCCACACAGCCCTGCAGCTGCGCCCGCCACACAGCCCTGCTCTGCAATCAGGGTGCAGCTTACAGAGCTCAAGTAAGGGCTAGAGAATTCCAAATTCCCAGTTTTTTTTCCCCCGAGTGATCTTGAGCAGATCATAACCACTGTGAACTTTGGTTTCCACCAAAGTTGTTAAGGTTAATGCCTGTTTGCCATGGCTGCTGTTGGGGCAGCAGGTGCAAAGCAGGGGCTCCATTCTCCAGGGTAGCTGAGCCTCCCCTTCTCACCCCACCCCACCCCCACACCCCACCAACAAGTTTAGCCTAGCATCTAAGGTGACAGCGAGGGTCCTAGGGCTAACCCTGAGCACTGGGCCGGGGACAGACCTGTGGTCACCCACCTCGTGTGTGCGCCACCAGAGGGTTGTTGTGGAAGACAAGCTCACAGAGAGAGGGGAAGAGCGCTGCTGGCAGGACAGCATCCTCCTTCGCAATCTGGAACAAGTGCAGGAGACATGTTAGTTGGTGCTCCCCACCCAGGTGGGAGGGGCTGGCTAGCAAGGACGGCTGCAGAACAGATGTGGGAGTGATGGACAGCAGGCAATGCCTTATCCCTGCACCATCACCTGCTCGGGCCCAGACACTTTGCCCTCTGTCTAAAGATTCTGCCACCACTGCTTCATTGTTGGAAAATGTGTTTTACTATTTTACATGTATGGGTGTTTTGCCTGCATGTATGTCTGTACACTACATGTGTGCAGTGACCTCAGAGGCCAGAAGAGGGTGTTGGATCTTCCTGGAACTGGAGTTACAGTTGGTTGTGAGTGGCCACGTGGTGCTCTTTACAGCTGAGCCATCTCTCCAGCCCCCCACCCCACCCCTTGCTGCATCTTTAAAATCTCTCTCTTATCCACACTGGATATGAGAGTGCCAAGGGTACTGGTCAAAAGGCCTTTGTCTCGAAGAGCCTTGAGGGTAGGCCCAGCACTGGCTTTGGATACACCGTCTTCCTCAGGGCAAACCTGCACACTCCCGCATTCCATCAGCAGTACTCCTGCTATTCCTTGCCATCAGCCCTAAGCACCGATGGACTGAGGGAAGAGCACCAGAGGCCAGGGGCCCACTTATCAGTGGGATGAAGCTGAGCCACAGCAAGGGACACCTCATGGCTGGCTGGGGCCAGGGGCTACAGTGCCCTGTGCACTTAGCCTGTAAGTGGTCAGGCCAGACTGCATGACCAAAGTTAGACAAGCATTGTTGAACAGAGTAGCTAGAACGTGAGGACAGCAGTGGGGTGGAATCAGAGGAGCCTGGAGTGGGGTTCAGTGCAGGGACACAGGAGGCACAAGTGGGGGGAGGGGAAGGACAGACTCTTCTGTTTGGCTCCTGGATCCTCACTGGACTGCCCTGGAGCAAATGGCATCTCTCATGGTTGTTCATTCAGCTAGCCAACACCGATTCTCTAGACCGACCACAGGCCACTAAAAGCTTCCTGTGAAGAGCCAGGCGCTAAGTGTTGGGACGGACTCTCTGCTCCTGACTCAGTCCTGGACAAGTCACAAGCAAATAGCCAGAGTGCTTCTTTTCCAGTAAAGTTTTATTTATGGACTCTGAAATTTGATTGTGTATAATTTTAACACACCATGAAGTGCTATCCTTGTTGAATGTACCTGGAAATATAAAAGCCACTCAGTCCAGAGGCTGACCAAGCCGTCTGCTCACTCATATTTTAATAGATCACAGTCTTTCTCCTTTGTGGTCATAGTGCCTTTGCAGAACTAAGTAGCTACAACAGACTGATATATCATCTGGCCCTTTATTAAAAAAAAAAAATTGCAGGGCTTGGGGATGTAGCTCAGTGGTAGAACGCATGCCCAGCATGCTGAAAACACGTTACAAAAAGCTTGTGGACCTATGTGCTAGCGTCCAGAGAAGGAGGCTCAGTCTCCAGAGTTGCCTGTGGTCTATGTAATGGTGGCCCAGGATGGCCCAAGCCTCTGGGTAAACGAGGCAATGAGAGACAAGCACTTCAGATGGGGAGTGGAAGTGTAAATTAATTCAGACAAGATATAAGATCCTGTTTATAGTTAAAATACGAAGGGAGCTGAGTGGCACCTAGGGTGTATGTGTAGTATATGTTCTGTGACGCCAAGCCCTAGCTGAAAGGCATGGACTCAGGGTTCTGGCTGATTGGCAAGCAGAATCTGGCCCTAGGCTAGCTGCTCCCTATAGGGTGAGTCATATGACATCAGAGAGACACCTCTTTCAGTGATAACCTCTGATTTCTGCCCAACCTCACTGGGTTAAAGACAATATAGCAATCAATTCTGTGAGCTAAATAAATGCTGGTTAAAGTTCGAGTTAAAGTGACTGTTTTGCTTTTGGCACGGCACTTCTGAGTGAACATCTTAGGGAGAGAAGTTCTGTTTGGAGGTAGACTTGTACCTCTGGTGAACCAAACACTCATTTCAACACATGTAGCTGTGTCTGTGGTGAGCTGCGAGCAGCACTCATGAAGACTTCCTGAGAGCCCGCCATGCATCAAGTTGTTCTGGACTCTAAGGATACACGTGTAAGCAGAACAAAGCCTGGCACTTAAACAAGTGGAGCCTGACGGTCTGTGCAGGACCTGCCTGACAAGAGCTAACCACCACAGTGCTAGAGTTAACTGCCACACAGGAAAATGACAGTCATGATGAGGACACGAGATGAGGGAGTGTTACCCCAACAAGAACAAGTCAGGCAAGCTGGCAGAGAGGAAAGCAGGGCATCTCCAGGGTGAGTGAGACACTGTCTCTCCTGTGGTCCCTGCCGGGGCTACATCTGCTGTAAGGACTAATCAACTAAAGGTTGTAATGAATGGTTGACGTCCAGCTGTGGCTCAGAGTATGGCAGTGAGGCTCCTGAGGGTGTGGTGATGGTGTGTGGGTATGAGAGGACCACAGAAAGCTTCATCGAGGCACGGCACCGAGCAGCATACCGTGTGCCTGGAGAAGAGCTGCCCTTGCAGGAGAGGCAGTGGCCCCCTGCTGCCCAGAAGGAAGCAGTCCCAAGCATGGCATCTGGGAGAGGGAGCACTTGCTACTCCTGAGGTCGAGTAGGAAAGCACCTGGGTCCTGCACAGTAGAAATCTGCACAGTAGGACCATGACAACGTCCGTCTCGGAGATGCAGGGCCACAGTGCTGCCCAAGACTGAGGTTGTAGTCCACCTTGGTTCCTACCTTGGTTCCTGGCAAGCGCCACGGAACAAGCAACAGCAGTCTACTGGGAGGCAGAAATGCTAACGGGAGCTGCAGATGGGAACAGCAGAGAACCACCCTCACAGCCCAGCAAAGGTCAGGTCGCTGTGGTCTGAAAGGGATGCGCTTCAGTACAGATGACAGGCTGCTGTGTAAGGGGAGACAGGGACAGACCATGTGAAGAGGAAGCATCTGAAGGTGCCACAGCCATGTTAGGATCAGACAAAGAAGACCGCAATACAAGGGGCATTATCAGAAGCAGAGGGAGGTGATTCACAATTGGACCGCATGGTAGGTAGACGTGTGCTAAATGCAGCTGCCCCTGCTAACGGTTTCAAAACGACAGAACTAAAGGTAGAAAAGAACAAAACTATGGCCAGGAGTGGATTTCTCTCTTCGTGTGTGGGTGCACTTGCCTGCGCATGTGTGTGTGGAGGCCTGATGTTGGCATCTGGTGTCTTCCTGGGTGGCCCTAGGATCCACCTGCGGTAGCTGTTCTCCAGCACCTGGGCTACAGACGTGTGCTGCCACAGCTGGCTTTGATGTGAGTGCTGGGGTTTGAACTCAGGGCCTCACACTTGTGTAGCAAGCAGCTTACTCACTGAGTCGACCCCAGACCCCTGAGTAGATACTTGAAAACACTGCTCTCGGTGACTGCTAAGCAAGAGTACAGGGAATAGTAGTGATGCCGCCGCCGATATCTTATCTCGACTGACATCCATCAACACTATCTCCACAGCTGCAGATACCTGGTGCTCTCGGTGCTCACGGAACAATCAATTTTAGAGGGAACCTCAAAACCAGTTTAAGTAGACTTTAAAAAGAAAGAAATCTTATAAATCATGTTTACCTGGCGAGAGAATGAATTAGAAATCAACAAATCTAAGACACCTAGAAGATTTGGAAATTAGCCAACTGATGCCCAAGGAACCCACAGGTCAGAGACAAAATCACAGGAAAAATTAAAAATACTTCAGGGCTGGGCTGGGGTGTAGCTCCGTAGGTGAACACATGCTTAGTGTGCATGAGAACTTGGGTTTGTCGTCCGGCACCAAAAAATAAACCACCGAGGGTCTACAGAAAATCAAACAAGGTCTGGATTCTAGATAGAGGGAAAACAGCTGAAGTCCACATGTGGACTTTTCAACCTGTTGTGTCCCCCAACCTCCCTTCACCTGATGAAACCCAATGATTCAGATCTAAGCTTGGATACCACTTTTCCTCGGCCAGACGTTAGGTCAGACCAAGCAGCACACACTACCTCACAGTGCTGTGTCATCCCTCAGCAGCAAACACGCTTACATTGTGACCGCCTGTCCAGTGCCATCTCCTGAACTGACAAGCTCTGAAAGACGATGGCTTTCTCTTTTACACAGTGTCTCTTGCTCAGGCTAACCTCAAACTCACCAGGCAGCTGATCTTGATTCTCGTGCCACTACCTCCCACATGGTGGGATCACAGGGATGTGCCACCACACCTACTTTATGCAACAGTGGGCACTGAGCCCTGGGTTTCACACATGCCGAGCAGGCACTCTGTAACCAAGCTACAGCCGCAGTCTCGAGGTCTTTTCACACCGTTACTCCCAGTGCCTAGCACAGAAGCTAGTATGTGGCAAGTGCCACATAACCCTCCCTACCCTGAGAGCCAGGAGCACACACTTGGATGCAGGGAAGAAACTGCTGGACTTCAGGTCAGAACGGGTCACATCTCTTCCATCCATGCCCCAAGGAAAGAGCAAAGGCAGTTAGTTACCTTGTTGTAGGCCAGGCTAAGGTATCTGAGCTCTGGGAAAGGTGGGGCCAATGTCTGGTTCCTCGCTTTCAGTGACTTCACAGGAAGAATCTCAAATATGGGAGGAAGGGAACATATCTTGGCTGTCTTAGAAGGAAAAAAAAAGTCAGAGTCAAAGTGTCACAATGATTAAAAAAGAAAACATTGAGGCTGTCAACAGCCAAATGCCCTTTCTATTGGGTGTGGAGAAAAGACCTCTGTAAGAGCGTCTGGCCAAAGAGACATCCGGGGTCATAAAGGCCAGAATTCTGACTCCATGTTCTTTGAGGTCACACGAGCTAATCCTCCAGTCTCCCAAGTTCCAATTTCAAGTTCTCTGGGGCCACAGACTACAGGAATGCTGCAGACACCAGAGGTTCCTGCCCTTTCTCCAGCCCCAGCCCCAAGGCGCCTTGGCCCTGGCCACCCCTTCTGTGCTACTCAGCTGAAATTTCCCCCGAAGGTAGAGGAAGTGTTTGCACTGATAAAGGCAATCAGTCGCCTTGGCCAGAAGAGGTAGGGTGGAAAGGGACTGAACCGGGGACTCCCAGCACCCAGGTCCTCAGCCCCCAGTTCTCATTCAGGGTGAACAACGGCTAAGTCCTGACCAACCTGAGCTAGGCTCAGCCTGATGATAGGATGGCTCCCCTCCAGCCCGGAGTGCCTCAGGGCCAACGTAGGACCAAGCACACAACTGAAACTGACGGATTAACCATGCCAAACACTCACATGGAGTCAGAGGGCATGGGGAGGGTAGATATTGGGCTAAGATGAACCGGATGTCCCAAGTGCCACTAACGGCTGTATGATCTTGATACAATCACTCTACTGCCCTTTCTTCGACAGATGAACATGTGTGCAGCAACTACTCTGGGCCAAATATTTTGTGAAGTCACACACATGAGACAGGCCAGCGTGAGGTAAACACAGATGAGTGATACTTTGGGAAACCTCCATGGCTCCTCTGGTCCAGGTCACCCTGCAATCTGACGGAGCCGGGGGCAGAGTGACAGCACACAGCAGTCTCCTCTACTTTTCAGCCCTGTGATGGGATTGAAGGGCTGCCTCTGGCCCCTTAGGGGACTACGGCTCTCTCCTGTGCAACTCTCAGCTTGGGGTCACATCTCTGCTCAACTCCACACATACACATTTAAGGGGTATCCATCTGAAAACCGGTCACAGAAGATCAGCCCTAAACTTACCTGACCTCTCCCATCACCTTCAAGGCACAAGACACTAAGAATAATTAAGACATCTTCAAGATTCTAGACACAGACTGCAGGCAGATTACTCCACCATGGGAACAGAGGGAGAAGCAATTACCCCATAAGGTAGTGGAGGCTGCCCCTTGAGTGGGAATGGTCATCTTATGACTGAGCCAACCCCCACCACCAAGCAATAATTTTTTGAGAGACCACAGGACCTCCAGAACCAGACCTGAAGCTATGAGGCACTCAGAGATGGACCAAGACTGATGGACTGTGTATACTTATGGCCCCACCCCACTGTCTTTTGTCCTTCCCTGCATAGCCTGGGCTCTTCTCAGTAGCCCAAGGACAGGGGTTAGCCACTGGTCCCCCTGTTTCTTCTCAGTGTGGGTACACTGCACAATAAATTATTTCCTTCTTGACCACCACTTGTCTCCCTGAACTTTTGAGGAAGGAGGTGGCAGGAGTCTGGCCTGTTAGGACCCTCCAGCGTCAGAACTGGGGCAAGACTGGGTAAGCAGAAAGGGAAGTCAGAGTAAAGCACAGACCAGGAAAACCCAGAGAATCAGGCTCAGAGGACACTGAGCTGAGGGCATGACTGGCCGTCTCCTAGAGGGACATGAATCTGACGTTTACAGAGAGAGAGAGACCCTTCTAGGTTTCCAGGTACTGAGCTGAGAGCACTGACCATCCTGCCAACTGTCATTGATTTCCAAGGCACATCCCTGGCCACAGGCCCTTCCATCCAATGGGAATGAACTTTGGCAGTATGACCCTTGACACTGCCCACTCAAATGAGCAGCTGCCGTTTCTACACTCCTAAAAGTAGATTGGCTGCCTTGTGGTGAAGAATTGATCTGGTTTCTGCCTGCTCCAGACTCCTGGCACTGAGCTTCTAAAGCCCTGAGAATTTCCTAAGTGATGGTTTGTCTGTTAGCCAGGGTTCCTTGAACCACATTTCCATTCTATTAATGGGATGAGGAAGGGGGGGCGCTGGTCAGGCCAGGTTGGAGGAGGGGGCTCTGAATTCAAACATGCATCTGAGAAGACCCTCTACAAAAGCTGTGCGCTAAGGCTCAGAAGAGCTTCCTGGTCGGTAAGTACTTTGAGGTGTTGGGAGGGTGCAGAAGTTTTACAGGTAGGACCTTCCAGGTCTCACCTTATGAGCCTTCTTCTCACTTTGCTGGCCTCATTTTTTGTCCTTTATATTACTACTGCAGTTGTTTGCGCATGGCCCTTTCTCAAGTTCTCTGAGTTCTAGAAAATTATTGACCCTCGGGGGGGTTGTGGGGACTCCCAGATTTGTAGCTAGGTGGTCACAGTGTGGATAGCTTACTGTCTTCTTCCTCCTTCATGACTGGCACCTAAAGTGAGGGCAGTTTTCTTAGGAATTCTCTCCCTAAACTTGACCTTAAACTCTGGGTTGGTTAGTGTGCTCTAATGTCACCCTGTCCCTCTAATACGCTTTGACAATAGAATGTGGCCAATGTGACACATTTGAATTTCACACTCCTCCACGCTTGCTTGCTCTCTTGAGACCTGAAACTGCCCTGTTGTTACGACCAGGGTGTAAAGATGGTGTGGCGAGCCAGGGCAAGCCCTATCCTTGAAAGCTCAGTTCCCAGCTGGCCTGCAAAGCCAGCAGAACCGCCTTGCTAGCTCCAATAATTTTAGGATGTAATCAGCTGAACTGAAGTCAGTCAGTGGTTTTGTTGTGCAGCTGTAGTTAACCAGTCCAATTTCTCACACAGTCATATGGGTGAGGAGGTGGCTTATCTCTCAAGGTTGGCTGGGTGTAGACATGCACATCTTGTTGCAGTTGGATGCATCAATATTTAATCTACATGTGTCAGTCTCCATGAGCTTGGTTAGTGAGCTCTGCCCTGAGTCAAAAACCAGCCTTCTGTGTTGACAAAATCGAACGGTACACCTTTGACAGCAAGGCTCAGGTCAGGGCAGCAATGTAACTCACCGGAAATCTACTTTCTGAGGCCTTTGTGAGAGAGCTCTTGTGAGCTCCATCCTGGCAGTCCCAGTTATCATCCGAGGCAGTGGCTGTCACTGCACTCTACTGAACAGTATCTGAAGGCCTGGGGGCAAGTCTGTGACCAGTGAGGTCAGGGCCTAGTCAGTTCCCCCAGCACCTCCCCAACGTCAGCAGCACAGGGCTGACCCATAGTAGGAGCTCAGCAAAGACGTGTTTACTTAGTGTGATCTACAGAATCGTCTCTTGTGGCTCTGTTAACTTGTTACTATTTAATGCCCTTGTCATTCTTCACCTTCGGAGTACAACTATTGATAAGACTTTTCCTGTATCGGCTGAGAAAGAATCCAGGTGAGGCTGCAAGTGTAGCTCAGGGGACAGCGCTCATCCTGTCAGTGTAAGGCCGTGGGTTCGATCCCTAGAAGGACCAACAAACAAACAAACACAAACATGAAGTAGCAGTTCTGCTTACCTCTGAGGTTGAAAATCCAGGGTAAGATGAGAACACGACCTCTGAAACGACAAAGAGACGGAGGAAAGGTGGTGAGATCACCTGACCTCGGAGGGGTCAGGTCTGGGCATCTTCCCCACCGTGCACTCCGGTGCTCCCCAGACAGCTTCCAGTGCTAACGCCGCAGAAAAGATCCGACTGGAACGTAACCAACTCCTTAGCCAGGCTGCTGAGGCCCGAGTGGCTGGTCCCCTCTCCACGTCTCCCATCGTTTCCCACCCCAGCTCATGCTGCCCTTCTGCTCACTCACAGTGTTTCAGTCACACGGACCTTCAGCCTAACTTTGCAACATGCAAGCTCTTTCTAGCCCTGGTGCTGGGAAGCCTGCATGGAGCGGAAAGCTAACCAGCTATCTCATAAGAGAGAGGTACAGAACAGACATCCCATCGAGGAGCTGAGAGCAGCTGAGATGGGATGAGTTCAGCCTGCGGCAGCACTCTCCTTCACCTGGTGCCTGGGCCCCTCCCCCATGTCCGTGGCAGGATGGGTGAGAAAGGTCACATGAAAGTAAACATAGGAGTGGGGGACAACACTCGCATGAACAGTTCTCTCAGGGCAGTCTAGCAGGGACTGGGGAGGGGTTAGCCAGCTAACAGCCAGTCTGTCAGATAATGACAAGGAGGTGGCGGCTATGAGGACCTGGACAGCAGGGAGGGGGGCGGGGCTCCCTTGCTTCCCTAGCTGCTGTGATTCCTGGGGACGGCAAAATGGAAGCTTTACTTTGGTTAGCATGTGAATCCAAATGGCACATTTTCCACATTCATAAAGCAGCCCAACTTGTCCTGGAACTTTCTGACCCATTTGGCGGGTCCTCTCTTCAAAGATCTGTCTGAGCTCTGCAAGGCCAACTGAACTCACAGATACTGGAAATTCAGCAGCAGATCTTTCTTGGGTCTAAGTCTTAGGTCTAAAGACTAAGAGGCCCTTCCTCCAAGATTCCAACTTTCCTGATTCCAACCTCTTCACACAAAGAAAATTCCAGGCTCTGGTGGCTTCATAACATTGTCTTCCAACACTTAAGAAGTGAGGCAGTATCAAACTTTCCCAGGAAACAGAAGAGCAGTGAACACTGAACACCCCTGAACTCGTGAGGCAAGCACAGCCTTGATTGACAGTCCTCACAGGAACACCACCACAGAGGAAGACATTACACCAATCACCTCCTGGACATTGAAGCAAAATCCCTCCACACAACGTCAGCAAATTCAATTCCTGGACCATCATGGCCAGCAGGGGTCTTGTCCCGGGAACGCAAGACTGACTCAACACTGAGAAGTCCATCCGAAGTTCTCTCAACCTTTCAGATAAAGAAACATGGGACCCTACCCCTTCCATCTGTTGTACAGGCTGGTGGTACATGTCTTTAATCCCAATACTGGAGAGACAGGCAGAGGCAGGCACAACTCTGTGAGTTCCAGGTCAGCCAGAGAGACATGGTAAGACCCTGTCTCAAAAATTTTTTTTCACCTTCCCACCAATAAAAATCAATCTATGTAATTACCAGCCCAATAGATTTTTTTTTTTTTCTGAGACAGGGTTTCTCTGTAGCTTTGGAACTTGTCCTGGAACTTTCTCTGTAGACCAGGCTGGCCTTGAACTCACTGATATCTGCCTGCCTCTGCCTTCCGAGTGCTGGGATTAAAGGTATATGCCACCACTGCCCGGCCCAATAGATGTTTTTAAAAAAGAAATAAAATTCAATACTGATTCACAGAAAACAAACAAACAAAAACCTCTCAGCAAACTAGGAATACATGCAGATTTCTTTAAATTTGATACAAGACATCTACAAATATATATACAGCTAATATACTTTTGAAATACTGAACACTTTCTCCTCCTAAGGAAGAAAAATTACCACCATGGCTTTTTTTTTTTTTCTTTTTTCCCCGAGACAGGGTTTCTCTGTGTAGCTTTGGAGCCTATCCTGGAACTCACTCTGTAGCCCAGGCTGCAGGCTGGTGCTGTGGGATGGTCTGTATGTCAAGTGTGTTGCTGATTGGTCAGTAAATAAATCACTGATTGGCCATTGGCTAGGCAGGAAGTATAGGCGGGACAAGGAGGAGAATAAAGCTGGGAAGTGGAAGGCTGAGTCAGAGAGACACTGCCAGCCGCCACGATGACAAACAGCATGTGAAGATGCTGGCAAGCCACGAGCCATGTGGCAAGGTATAGATTTATAGAAATGGATTAATTTAACCTGTAAGAACAGTTAGCAAGAAGCTTGCCACGGCCATACAGTTTGTAACCAATATAAGTCTCTGTGTTTACTTGGTCGGGTCTGAGTGGCTGTGGGACTGGCAGGTGAGAGAGATTTGTCCTGACTGTGGGCCAGGCAGGAAAACTCTAGCTACAAATGGCATTCAACGTGGTGGCAAGAGTTTCCACCTAAAAACCTGAGAAAAGATTCTAAAACAGAGCTAAAAACAGCTTCCTAATTGTCTCTCTCAAATGAGGGGCAGCTGCCGGTTTGAGCTACTGGTGGGTTCCTAGCGTGCGTGCTCGATCTGCAGTATGGTGGGAATGAGGCCTCTGCAAGTGGCACATTAAGCTGCGTGGTGGATTTAGACTTTGCTAGCACAAAACAAAAAAAAAAGAGTATTTTGGGCTACACGCTGCTTGGATAAAAGCATAGAGACCCACAATAGCTCCCAGAGCTGGTGGTAAACTACCGCTGCCATGTTGGGAAGCTGAGGTGAGCGGAACCAGCAGCCACAGCTGCTGCAGTTTAAAGCAATAGATTCACAATAAGACAGATTCAGATGTAATAGTTTACAATGTGTGTAAAATATACGTAGGCTTGAAAGAGACAAAAAAGGTGATATATACAGTTATATAAACAAATACATAGTTTTAAAAAATAAAGTCTTTAAAGAGACAGTAAAATTAATATAAAAAATAAGCCACGTAAAGATGAATATTACACAGAGAATCTGGATTGTGTTGTCTTTGGGATTTTTAACTGCAGAAAAACATTTGCTTGTAAAAGATGTTGAGTTATGCCAAAATGTATATTTTAAAGGTACCTTGACTTCAAAATTTGGATATAAGGATATGTTGCTTTGGAAAAGAGTCTTTTTTGTTCCCACAGAAAGCCAGAGGCTATGGATTTGTTCCAGATTAAGATACATCAGGTTTGACCAGCCAAGACCCCCTGAAAGGTCTCTGATGACACCATGGCCCAGATGATCCAACATCCAGAATGGTTTCAAGACAACTGGCTCAGACAATACAGCCTCATGGACTATTCCATAATCCTAAAATTTTCTTTGTATCCCCATAAGATACACGCCCCCCTCCAGCAGGAAGTAGTAAGAGAAGCTATGCCCAAATTCCCAAATTATATGTAATTTTACTTTGTTAAGGTTAAAACCTTCCTTTTTGAAAAAAAAAAAAAGGGAAGTGCTGTGGGATGTTCTGTATGGCAAATGTGTTGCTGATTAGTCAATAAATAAAACACTGATTGGCCATTGGCTAGGCAGGAAGTGTAGGCGGGACAAGGAGGAGAATAAAGCTGGGAAGTGGAAGGCTGAGTCAGAGAGACACTGCCAGCCGCCACGATGACAAACAGCATGTGAAGATGCCGGTAAGCCACGAGCCATGTGGCAAGGTATAGATTAATGGAAATGGATTAATTTAAGCTGTAAGAACAGTTAGTAAGAAGCCTGCCACGGCCATACAGTTTGTAACCAATATAAATCTCTGTGTTTACTTGGTTGGGTCTGAGCGTCTGTGGGACTGGCAGGTGAGAGAGATTTGTCCTGACTGTGGGCCAGGCAGGAAAACTCTAGCTACAGGCTGGCCTCGAACGTACAGAGATCCGCCTGGCTCTGCCTCCCAAGTGCTGGGATTAAAAGCATGCACCACTACCACCCAGGCCATCATGGCTTCTACTCAACACCATACTGTTTGGGTCAGCCAGTAAGACAATAAAAAGGTGCTAAGAACTCTTACAATAGGAAAAGAGGAGACAAAACAGGCGTCATATATAGATGCTGCCACCATGAACAAAAAGAATCAAGAGAGCCTGCAAGTGACTAGAAGAGAGAAATGAACTTGGAAATGTTGTTGCTAGGCATGAGTTCAAGATGTCTGTGTACTAGCAACAAGTGAGTGGGACTGAAATATAAAAAGCAACAGCATCAATGATAGCATAAAAAGAGATAAAAACCCAGGAATACATCTAATGACAGATGGTCATGGTCTCAGCCTTGGAAACAACAGAGCACTCCTGAGAGGACTTTAAATGACCCAAAAACCAGGCTGGAGAGATGGCTCAGTGGTTAGGAGCACTGGCTGCTCTTCCAAAGGACCTGGGTTCAATTTCCAGCACCCACATGGCAACTCACAATCTTCTGTAGCTCCAGTTCCGGGGGGACCCAATGCCCTCTTCTGGCCTCTCTGGGCACTGCATGCATGGGGTGTATAGACACACATGTAGACAGAACACGCACCCATACACATAAAATGAAAAATAAAGGTTAAAAATAAGCGAAAGACCTGAAAACTGATAGGTTGTGTTCTTTTCCTATTCTGGAAAACATGATTTCCACCTCGACCTGTAGAGTCAGTGCACTTCCAATCAAATCCCAGTGGGATCCTGCTGGAAACTGACAATTCCCAAACTTAGGTAGATGCCAGGAATTGCTGGGTACCACAACTGACCTGAAGAACTTCACTAGCAAGCCACAGCCTAGTGAGAAAGCTACAGTGGAGTTCACTTCTGCTATTGTTTCAGCTGGGGGGCGGGTAGCAGGGTATGGGAGGGGGATGTGTAAAAATAAAAATATATTTGCATGAAAAGAGCCTTATGTAAAACTGTATAATAGAATAAAAAGAAAAAAAAATTTTTAAGTCTTTATAGAAAACCTGTGGAAGTGGGCAGGCCAGTGCAGGGCCAAGCATAGGGCTGGCCAGACATGCCTATTACAGAAATGAGCTGCAGTCAGGGACCTGTGCACAGGAAATGCATTCACAGAGCATGCCTCCCGTAGTGTCATGTAGTAACAATAAGGAAGTGAGGCCTCTGGTCCATGAGTTCTTAGGGAGAATTGCTGTGGGATGGTCTGTATGTCAAGTGTGTTGCTGATTGGTCAATTAATAAATCACTGACTGGCCAGTGGCCAGGCAGGAAGTATAGGTGGGACAAGGAGGAGAATAAAGCTAGGAAGTGGAAGGCTGAGTCAGAGACACTGCCAGCCGCCACGATGACAAACAACATGTGAAGATGCCGGTAAGCCACGAGCCACGTGGCAAGGTATAGATTTATAGAAATGAATTAATTTAAGCTGTAAGAACAGTTAGCAAGAAGCCTGTCACGGCCATACAGTTTGTGTTTACTTGGTTGGGTCTGAGCGGCTGTAGGACTGGCAGGTGAGAGAGATTTGTCCTGACTGTGGGCCAGGCAGGAAAACTATAGCTACAGAGAATGACTTCTGAAAGCTCTGGGAATCCACACACTCCCACTGTCACCCAACAGTGTCTCCCTGCTCAGTGGGGAAAACAAGCCTTTCAGTTAATGGTGCTGGGCCAAAAAGTATATGCATGCAAGCAAGTCAACTTTGACTCTGCCTCACACCATGTTTGAAAACCCTAGGCAGATCACGGGTCAAAATTTTAACACTTAAGCTTTTACAAGAACATATGGGAAAATATCTCCATAGTCTTGAGATAGGCTGCAAATTCAGGAAAGAAAAAATACTGACATAAAATGCTGAGGAATCAGATTTCATCAAAAGAACTTCTGTTCATCAAAAGCCATTATAATGAAATTTTTAAAAAATATGGCTGGGGAGTAGCTCAGTTGGGAGAGTGCTAGTCTAGCGTTTGTGAGCCTCCAGGCTTGATCCCAGCAGCAGCAGAAGAGGAGGAAGAGGAAGAAGAAGAAGAACTACATCCTAGGAGATGTTTGTAACATATTTATAAAGGATTTGTGTCCACAATTATAAAGAACCTGAAAAATCAAGAAAAAGATACACATTCCAACTTAAAAATAGGTAAAAGTCTTGAGTATTTCCCAAAGAAACACCAAAGTGATCAATAAACACATAAAAAAAAAAAAAACACCAGCATCACTAGTTATCTGAGAGATGGAAATTGAAACCACGATGCAGTACCACTCCATAGCCAGCAGAACAGCCAACCTGAACTTTCAAGCATTGATGAGGCCCTGGAGTAACTGGGACTCACACACATCAGAGTGGACATGAACACTGCACAGCCATGCTGGGAAATGTCTGCAGCGTCCACCAATGCTCAGTATACTTGGAGATGTGTGACAGGCAAGTCCTCTCCTGGGCATATTCCCCAAGGAAATGAGGTCGTGTGCCCACTAAATGATAAGAGGATGCTCACAGCAGTTCACAGCCTCAAACTAGATAGAACCAGAATGTTTCTCAACAGTAAAAAGGAAATAAATCGTGATGTACATGGAGTAAATAAGAGCAGGGAAAGAGATACATGCCATAATATTAATGAACCCAATGACCTAGCACTGAGTGAAAGACACTGGCACGAAGCCCATGCTGTACAGCTCTACACATGAACTTCAAATCGGACAGGAGTGATTACTCTTGGAGGAGGTACTTCTTGCGAGGATCCCACAAACACACTGGGAATGTTCTGGGTTGTAATGTGAGCGATGGGTAAAGAGTGTATAAAACGTCAAGCTCTGCACAAGATCTCTGTTCTTCACCTGCTATAAACTATTTCCCCCAATCTGAAGAGTAGACAAACAGTTGGCAGATGCATAGTACGGTAACTAGCTCAGTGGGACTGGAACAAGTGTGTCCAACCCAGAGATGCACTCCTCTATTACCCCACTTGGGTTTACAACATGAAATGTGTCTTTCCTTCCTGCCTCTGGAGGATGCCATGCAGATGTGACTCTTGGAACTGTGGAGCCATCCTGAGAACCCAGTAGGAACCAGCTTAACAGGACAAGCTGTGCCCAAGGAGGAGGGGAAGGCCTGGAGCCCTTGAGGACATGGGTATGCCACAGGCTTGCCTGACTTCTGAGTTTCTTAATAGATGAGATTTTAAAAAAGTATCTACTTTTAGTTGGAGTTTGAAAGCATCTCACCTGACAGAACTAGTTGGGAAGTCTGAGCAGCTCATTTAGAACACTCCCAGAACCAACCCTAGAAGCCCACTCCCCGATGGAGCGCGCATCGGAACAAAGGACATGGCTCACCTGTGCGGTCCACGTCCTTCTTCATGGGCAGTACAGTATAATTGGGCTGCTCATCCGGGGTTTCAAATATCCACGTCTGGGTCTGCAGCTCTTTCTGGGGGTTTGGCCCCTCTGTAACCCAGTCCCCCGATCCATCACAGAGCTGAACCTGTTGTAGGTACGGGATCCGGAAAATCTTGTTTTGGTCCAGGCTCAGTTTCTTCAGTCTTCAATTAAGGAAAGTAAATTCAGAATCACAGCAGTGATGTGATCTCTGGGGTGTTACTGAGCAAGCTGGGGAACACACAGGGATTCAGGCTTGGACATGGACCCCTGTTATATAGCCTTGAGATGAGGGGGACTTACCTTCTCTGAGGCTCAGTGGCCTCACCTTATAATGGAGATAAGGTTTATTAATCTCTAAAGCTCTATGAAGACTAAATGAGACAATATGTAAACATCTGGGCACCAAGTAGTATTCGGTAAATAGTAACTAAAATCAAAGGAAATATTTTAGAGATCTTTGTCAAATACGCAGAACTTGGCAACTAAAGTTCTTTGTGTGTGTGTGTGTGTGTGTGTGTGTGTGTGTGTGTGTGTGTGTGTGTGGTTTTTGGGTGGGGGGGTGGGGGGGTGGGGGGGGGGTGGTCAGGGTTCTACCCTGGGTAGTGGCTAATCCTACACATGACCAGAAATAACCTTACTGATGTTGCATTTCTCTGTCAAGCTAAGTTCAGAGAGAGAACTCACTTGCCCAAGGCCACACAGCACACACACATGGTGGAGCCTGAATGCAGCACTCAGGGTGTGAGCCCCACTGGGGTTGGGGATGGTACAGAGGTGGGCTGTGACATTACCTCCTGAGCCCAGCCAGGCTGGCAAAGCAGCTGGGATTGGACAGTTTGTTGTCATCCAGCATCAGGGTCTCCAGTGCTGGGAACCTCAGGATGTACTTCTTGCTTGCCAGTGATGACATGGATGCCTCCCTGTGGGCGCAGAGATCTTTTGTACTGAGTGAAAGCAGAGAATGAGAGCCACTATCCCCAGGAAGACAGGGACCTGACCAGGACGATTAACCAGCTTCAAAACTTCCCTAGTGCCTACAAGGGGTCCATTTAGAGATGAGCAACAGGTATAGCTCCCACCCACTGACCCCTCCCTCAAATCCTGCTTGTCCACACAGGCCACTGCATGGAGACAGTTTCACTGACACTGGGCTGTGCTGGGGTAGTAGGGTCACCGGCTGTGCTGATGGTCAACACCAGGGTGAATGAAGCAAGACCAAATTGCAGAGATAATGCTACAGATGGTACACAGTACAATTCTGGCCAAAGGCAGACTCCTGAGAATCTTTTGTCACTCACCCTGAGGATTGGTAACCATGGGAACGATATGCTCTTGGCTTGGAACATGGCTGTGCCATCAAGGTTTCCTTGAAGAATTCCCAAAACACCTGAGAGTGGGATTCAAGAGGCTGAGGTCCTGATGTACACAGGTGGACAGGAAGTGGTGGCATTTTAGGTGTGATTGTTAATATGACCTCATGTTTCCAAGTGGATGAGGCCTAGGTTGCTCTAAAGACACGTGGGCAGGTGACACCGTTTCATCCCTCCCTGCACATTCCATTTCATCCACACAAAACAGAAACAACTGTGCACACACAAACACACATTCCATGCTTGAGCTATAAGCACACAGGCAAGAGACAGGGTGAGCAACATTTCTCCAGTCCTACTTCATTTCTGCACTGTGATAAGCGACTTCATGCAGTCTTCGCAGGGATCAGTGGCAGAGGCACTATCCACCTGCTTTTCATCAGGAAGCTCAGTAACCTGCCAAAGTCTCATAGCCACAGAGTGGCAGAGCTCAAACTAGAGCTTAGTCCTTCCTGATTCCCAAACCCAGACCTTTCCCACTACCGCCTCCTCTTCTGGTCCCATCTTTAAGTCCCGTGTGGATTAGAGGTGAGGAGATGAAGAGGCCCTTGCTGCCTGGTCTAGACAGAGCTTGGCAGAAGTAGGTGAATCCAAAAGTAGGTAAAAAGTTGGGGTGGGTCTGGGAGGAGGGGGAAGAAGGGTGTCCAAAATTCTGAGGACTAATGAAAAATGAAGGCCCTGGAACATACACATGTACCTTAGGTTTCACAGGTGGGCACGGCGAGGGCTACAATCGCTCATTCCCTCAGGAATTTCCTTAGCAGGAATTTATGTTGCTGGTCCTGGGAGAGAAGGGACACTCCCCCATTTCAAGGCCTTTCCAGTCCCATGGAGGAGGCATGAGACACTGCCCACCGTAAGGCGATTGCTATAACTGAAGTAGGGAGGAGCTGCAGGAATGGCAACGATTAAGTGAATTAATAAAGAATGAGAGGAATTGTGTCGTGATTTTAACCTCTGTGAGAGGAAAGCAATAGAAAGAAATCAACTCTGGCTCTGTAGCTCTGTGCAGCCATTTCCTACAGTGGGGCCCAGAGACACACAAGGTTGGCCTGTGGGGATACATGGGCAGAATCACGGAGAGGAGTGGGCATAGAGCTGCGAGAGAGAATTCTGGGCTGTTCTCCAGTCCTCGGACCTACAATCTTAACATAGATCCTGTCTGTCTTTAAGATGCAGTTGTGAGGTTCCTGGGTGTTCTTGCAATGAATTCCCGTCGTGGGGGCTTACTGTGGAACAACAGTAAGTTCCATGCTCTGGCCGAACAAGGGCCAGGGCAGATCGTTTAGAAAGGGCACTGGCACTCTGAATCTGAATCTCTACTCCACCAAATAGCCAGGAAGCCACAGCAGCTCTTCATTCTACTCCAGTGAGACATGCACTAGGAGTCAGGCCTTCAGACATTCCTCTGAAGCACTGTCACAGTAAAGTGGTTCTGCTCGTTCCTGTGACAGTAAGACTACCCTGCTTTCTTAAAGTCTGCCCTAGAGAAAACAGACAAAAAGTAAATGTCTCAAAGAGGGCCAGGGGCCAGGGAGACGGCTCAGCAGGTAAATGCTCCTGCCGCCAAGTCTGACGGCCTGAGACTGACTCCCGGAACCCACAAAGTAGGAGGGAAGCAACGTCCACAAGTTGTTCTCTGACCTGCACACATGTGCTGGAGCATGTGCGCTCCATAACAAATCAATGCAAAGAACCCCAGTTATAAATGAAGCTTTGGGTGGGAGAGGAGGAGGGAGGGAGAGAGAGGAGAGAGACAGACAGAGACAGGGACGGAGACAGAGACTGTGTCATGGGACCTAGTAGGAAAAGCCAGCCACAGCTGCAGCTCTCACAGTCTCACCAGATGAACTCTGAAGCAGCCGTTTACCAGGGACGGAGAAGCTGAAGTTTCTAGCTCTTCATGCTAGAAATGTCATTGGTATTGTCCCTTGCCTGGGGAAATGGATTACTGTCTTCTAGAATTGGGCAGACAAATGTCTTTTAGATGCTAAGTGCACACCTGGTGGTTGGATTCAGCCAGAGGAAAGCATGCTTCTTAGCAGATGCCTAGACCCCCCCCCCCCCCGCCCCCACCATAGGGAGCCCAGAGCTCTAGTTCAGGAAGTGTGCCTGCTGTGACTGTCCTTGACTTCTGGTGCTGAGTGTCTCTGAACCCAGACCCTCCAGTCATACGTGGAGGTCATTTCTTTTATGTCAAGAGCCCCGCAGCTCTCAAAGCACAATGATTTCAACAACCCCCTGTTGCAGACAGAAGCACATTTACTCTGCAGCTCTTATGTGTCGGGCAATGAGTTTCTATTTGGACATAAAACACCCCCCAAAGACCGTGTGCTGAATGCTTGGTGCGAGCTGATGGCATTATGGAGCGGCTGTGGAAACTCCAGGATGTGAAACCTTGTTGCAAAGAGTAGGTCACTACTAAAAATAGGGTATAACTTGTCCCTGGTCCCTTCCCCATGTTCTCTCTCTTTGCTTCCTAACTGCCGCATGTGCCCTAAGACACTCTCCTTCAAGACAGTCGGCCTGGCCATAGCCAGAAACAAGTGACCACAGATCAGGCCTTTGAAAGCGTGGCCTAAATAAGCCTTCTTTCTCTTCCGTTGTTTCTTTTGGGTGCTCTGCCATGGTGACACAGCCGACTAACACATGAGGAAGCACTGGTAGGCACTTGCTGTACTTTATGCAACAGGGCTTCCCATGGACAACACTTGGAGTGATGAGTGCCGTGCAAAAAGGAAATGTGCATCGTTTTAAAACTTGCAAGAGAGCTGACGGCCCCGAGGAAGAATGCACAGAACCTAAATCCCCAAGAGAGAACTGAAGCTAGGAGGCCGGGCAGCCTCAAGGGCGTTTGCTGATCTTGTTGGAATTGAATTATGACTTAACAGTCTGGAGAATCAAAACCCAGAGCGTGATGACAGTAGAGCATCCAGTGAGAATCGGAGATGCTAAGGGATGTCCACCCTCAGGAGGGTGTGAGCCAGTCGGAGCCCTTCTCATCCCACATGCAGGAAAGCTGTCTTGGGGTGAACAGAGATGGAGAGTTTGGAAAGCTGTACCTCAAATCTGTGTCATCAGAACAATCAGAAAATAGCCATAGTGAGTATTCCTGGTCATCCGGCCAAATGCATGGAAAGATTTATGGTGTCAAGACAAGTGATGTGAGCCAACTTCCCTGGCATAAAAGAGGAAATCCAGGCAAAACACACATTTTTAAACAATCTACTTTAAAGTGCCCCCAACTAATAAGCTGTGAGGACACATGGAACTTGGTTTTAGGAGGTGACCCAGAGGCTGCTTTCCCCAGGGCTGTCTGCCTACTACAGGAGTGACAGTCTATTGACAGTGCCAGTGGAGGGTCCCAAACCTTAGGTCCATGGTGTGCCACACAAGGGAGGCTAACAGAACGTTTGTAGGTAAAGGTTAGGGCATTGAAGGACCAAACCCTAGGAGGTGGTTCGCACTACAAATAATTTCAAATAATTTCAGTTACTGTAATTGGATTTAGGTTTGGAATTATCCATGTAAAATCTACACTGTAGATAGCCAGAGACTCAATCTGACAAGAAAAAAAAAAGTGATTTAAGTTGTTCAAAGGGAAGAGTTGGGACATCTCATTCGGTCATGTATTTGCATTTAAATTAGACAGAATTGGGCTTAAATGAAATAGAAAAGCAAGTTCTTGCCTCGTACCAGCTCCTTCCGAGCGCTTCTGTGACTGTAGGGGCCACGCTGAGCAACACCCCCACAGACCGCTCCCCCACCGCAGCAAGCAGCACTGCAGTGTTAAACTAGACTTGTGCAAACCATCAGACAGCAGCTGCTGCCTGGTGTGAGAGTGTGACAGGCACAGGGGTCCCCCATTCAGTGTGGGACTGGGGAGTTGGAGGAAGACCAGAAAGTCGGCCCGCCTGTCGTTCTCCCCAGTCTGAATTAGATGACAGAACCCCCGGACTTGTCTACTCAACAACAAACTGGTGGGCTGTTACTGCGGAAAATGCCACCTTGAAGCTCCAGAACTTCTCTAACAGGAAACTGGAAATTCCACGGACATCCTGAGGCCCTGCGAGAGCGCCGGCAGCATGGATGCGTAGGAGCACAGAGGCTATGGAATCGTATGACATTGCTGTGAAGTGCTCCTTGTTCATCAGCGTGTGCGAACGTCACATCCTGAAGAATGACTGTAGATTATGAGATCTTAACACGCTGTTGATTCCAATTCCAGCTGCTGTTGCAGATGTGAAATCTTTCTCTGGTAAATCAACAGAGCTTGTGGCACTTGGAATCTGAGAACCTGAAAATGGATCCTTCTCTTTATCAGTTAAAAGGACTTCCAGAAATAGTTGTCTTAATCGGACAGGAATAACAGTATCCCTGTGTCCTCTTCTGTCAGGGCCACACAGACTTCAAGCCCTATCAAATCGATCCACACGGATTTTCAGTATTTTGATGTCCCACAGAAAATAACATGCTGACTGGACGTGGTGATAAGAAAGCCACCCCCCGCCAGATGGCTTAGTAAAGCTCACATGTGTCACAGGGTAGAG